ACAGGGAGGTGCTGATGGACGGGCTGAGGAGGAAGGAGACCCCATGGGGGAGGCTCTGACAGGGAAGGACGTGCCCTGGGTCACCTCACCTGCAAGGGGCGTCTCAGGAGGCTCCGGGTCTATTTCCTGATTTGTCATAGAAGCCACAGCCAGGCTGCCAGGAAGATGTTGTTCCCCTTCCTTGTGGCTGCTGACGTGGCCGCCGTGACAACCATGAGACCGGCAGGGCCAGCCTCTCAGTGGCCACACCCTGTGCGTCTGTACTTACAGCGCCATGGGCTCCATCTGCACACTCAGGACCAGATCGAGAAGACGCCATGACCCCTGCCCTCAGGGCCCTGCTCTGCCTCGGTGAGATGGGAGAGGGGAGGGGGGAGGGGAGCCCTGGTCTGTCAGGACCCCAGGACTCAGGAGGCTCATGGGGAGGAGGGTGCTGCTCAGGGTTCAGGGCAAATCTCTCACAGGGACTCTCTTCCAGGGCTGAGTGTGGGCCTCAGGACCCCAGTGGAGGCAGGTGAGTCTCCCCAGGTGTCCCAGATCCCACTCCTCCCTGGGGACAAGGGGCCACCCCATGGGAAGTTGGGGGTGGAGAAGAGCAGTTCTTGGCTGGTGGATGAAGGACATCTGAAATGCTCGGGACTGAGAGCTGGGGACCAGGGGTGGGAATGTCCTGTGACCCAGTCCCTGATTTCCTTCCAGGGCCCCTCCCCAAGCCCACCCTCTGGGCTGAGCCAGGCCCTGTGATCCCCTGGGGGAGCTCCGTGACCATCTGGTGTCAGGGGACCCCAAGGGCTGAGGGGTACCGTCTGAATAAAGAGGGAAGCACACCATTGTGGTACCAACAGAAGACACTGGATCCCGGGGACAGAGCCAAGTTCTCCATCACACACACGACAAAGCCTGATGCAGGGAGATATCGCTGTTACTATCTCAGTCCCAGTGGCCAGTCAGAGCGCAGTGACCCTCTGGAACTGTTGGTGACAGGTGAGAGGACACTCAGGGGTCCCAGCCTCAGGTTGTGCCCTCAGGAAGGGGGTCTGCTCTTAGGGTGTCTCCCTCTCACAGCCCAGCCCTGGGGGACATGAGGGAGGTGTGAGCCCATTTAAAACACTGCCCCCTCCTCTCCTAGGATCCTCCAGGAAACCCAGCCTCTCAGCCCTGCCCAGCCCTGTCGTGACCTCAGGAGGGAATGTTACACTCCAGTGTGGCTCATGGGAGGGATTTGACAGATTCATTCTGACTAAGGAAGGAGATCACAGTTTCTCCCGGGCCCTGGACTCACAGCCACAGACAAGTGGTCTGTACCAGGCCCTGTTCCCTGTTGGCACTGTGACCCCCATGCAGAGGTGGAGGTTCAGATGCTATGGCTGTTACAGGAACAGATCCAATGTGTGTTCACTCCTCAGTGATGCCCTGGAGCTCCTGGTTCCAGGTAAGTCCCATTATTGTCTCATCAAAGGATTGAGGCACTGGATACATAATTGGCATCTTTGCTGTGAGGGGAGCCCCATGGGAGATGGTGAGGTGACTACAGGGGCACCTGGGCCAGAGACTGGGTGAGAGACAGTGAGACTTATGGGCCAGGACAGGAGAAGGTGTTTATGGGAGGAGCAGCTCCTGTAATTCATGTCTGGTCTCCCCAGGTGAGTCTGGGAAGCCCTCCCTCCTGAGCCAGCAGGGCCCCATCGTGGCCTCTGGACAGAGCCTTACCCTCCAGTGTCGCTCTGATATCGGCTATGACAGATTTGCTCTGCACAAGGAGGGGGGACGGGACCTCCCCCAGAGCCTTGTCCTGCAGCTTCAGGCTGGGCTCTCTCAGGCCCACTTCCCCCTGGACACTGTGAGCAGCTCCCACGGGGGCCGGTACAGATGCTACGGTGGATACAACCTCTCCTCTGAGTGGTCGGCCCCCAGTGACCCCCTGGACATCCTGGTGGCAGGTGAGGAGCCAGTGGGTTCACTCAGGGACCAAACTCTGCACAGGCCCTGCTGGGGGTCTCAGGTGGTGAGGCCAGAATGACAGTGCAGGGCCCCAGGGAGGGAGAGAGACAGAGAGAGACAGGGGGTTGGAGGGGAGAGGGGAGACTCAGAGAAACAGAGACTGACAGAGAGGAGGGCCCTTAGAGTGAATTCTGGTAACTCAGCTCAGAACAAGCTGGGCCGGCAGCACTCACCCTCTCTCCCTCTCTCTAGGACATCTGGCTGACAGACCCTTCCTATCGGTGCGGCCAGGCCCTGGGGTGGCCTCAGGAGAGAACGTGACCTTGCTGTGTCAGTCCCAAAGCTGGATGGACACTTTCCTTCTGTCCAAGGAGGGGGCAGCCGATCCCCCCCTGCGTCTGAGATCAAAGCCCGGAGCTCAGCAGTACCAGGCAGAGTTCTCCATGAGTCCTGTGACCTCGGTGTCCAGGGTCAGCCCAAGCCTCTCACCCTCTTCCTGTCCTCATTTCCAGGACCCTCTGGAGGCCCCAACCCCCCACCCACCTCCACAGCTGGTGAGTCCCAGGGAGCTCTGCTCAGAGGGAGCACAACCCATCCAGCACGTCCTGAGAATCTGTCAGGGGACCGGGTGACCCAGATCCTCAAGGACCGGCTTATGTCCCAGGGAGGCTGGGAGTCCCAGTGTCTGAGCTGGTTGTGGGTGGGGTGGTCATGGCAGTGGGAGATGTCAGGTCACAGGCTGGGGATGGGAGCTGAGCTCATGTGGGGAGATGACAGCCCCCACCCCTCCTGCCCCATCCTCATCCCAGAAGGCTCTGAGGATCGGTCTCTCCCACCCACAGGGTCAGGCACGCAGATGGGTAAGTGAGGGGCTCTGTGGAGAGGTAAGAACCTCCGTATGGACAGAGGCTGAGCTACAAGGGGTTCAGGCCCCTCTGAAGTTTCTCACTTGGACACGCCCTTCCCCTGTCTGCACCTCAGTGTCTCCAAGTGTGAAAGGAAAGAATCCTTGTCCAGAGCTTAGATTTCCTGTCAGTTCTGACCCTGACCTCCTGGGAGAAGGGCCTCACAGGGAAGCCCCCAGGATGTGATGTTATGGGGCTTGTCCCCTCTGTCTCAGTGATGGTGACACTGTACTGGGAGGGGCAGGCAGGACAAGGTTCCGGGCAGCCAGTCCTACCCCTCAGCTCAGGCTCAGCTCAGAGGAGGGAACAGGGTGGATCAGCCCTGGCTCAGCTCCTGGCTCTGCTGCTCCTGCTGTGGGGCTGGGCGGTCCCTTCTCTCCTCTGAGTGTCGGGTTCCTGTCTGCTCATCCCTGGTCCCATCCTGCTCACAGGCTGCTGGGAGATGAGGTGACAT